AAAAAAATATTTAACTTTACTAACCAATTTAATATTCAATAAAAAATGTTACTAACTTTTGTATGGTAATTAATTTGCAAAATTTCTCTTAATGATACATTTTTAAGTTTGATACAAAAAAATATATAATAAATTTTCATGATAATGAGCAACAATAATCTGAATGAGCAAATAATGTTTTTTTTTTTTTTTTTAAATTTTATTTTATTGAGATTTACAACTGTATTACATGGAAAATACAATAAGCAAATGTGACATTGGTAACATGACATGTACAGCATGAAGAGAAACTACCCATTGGTAGAACTCAAATTAAAGTTCTATATTAGAAGGTCCGGAGGTCATCTTCTTTTCAGACTCCTCGGAGGATTATCAGGGATCGAGGAGGAAGCAAGGTTTGAAACGAGAGAATTCGGATGGTTCTGCAGTTTGTTATGGAAGGATAGATATCCGGATTGGGCCAAATCGGAAACATATGGAACATTAAGGTCTTTATGGATGATTTTATTTGTGACAAAGTAAGGAGCGTTGAGGATTTTACGAAGGATTTTGGATTGTAAGGATTGGATACGAGAGGAATTCGATGGTTTAGTGGAGCCCCAAAGCTCAATTACGTAGGTCCAAATAGGTCTTATTATTGTCATATATATGAGTCGTTTGTAATTGATTGTGAGCTTAGAGCGTTTGTCTAGTAAGTGCTGCAGTAGTCGAAAACGTCGGGCGGTTTCAAGTCGTTTCAGTCTGGTATGGGGGTTCCAAGTGAGTCGTTTGTCAAGGTGGAGTCCTAAGTATCGGATTTGTTTGACAGGGATAAGAGGGCTATTGTTGAAGGATACTGTAGGACAGGAAGCCATAGGTTTACGGGCAAATAATTTTATTAATGGAAACTAGAATCAGTATTCCTTATCAGCAAATAAAAGTATTTCTGAAACATATCAGCCTACACACACTTCTTCCTATAAGGGGAGGGGAGTATTCATTAGGAGTGTAGACTGTGATGAAACTTAAATTTTTCTTATTTCTTATAGGAAGAAATAATAACCTCCTTGGGAAGTGGTTTGTTGTATCAGAAAAGCAACTTTACATATGTGGGTCTTTTTGTCTGTCCTGTATATTTGTGAAGCGTAGGTCCAAATTTGCTTGAGTAGGTAAGTATATGTGTTCAATTTCTGTTTAAGTTTTAAATTTGAATGTCTTGAAAGGAGTGGGTATAATAGTCGTAGTCTTAGGTTATTGATATGCGTACCCAATACGTACCATGTCATTCTTCTGTCAAATGTCGATACAAGATATTGAACTTTATCTATCTGAGAAAAAATCAGTCATTGTCGAGGTAAATAGCAGGGCAAGTTTTGGGCTCATGTCGAAGAGTAAAAGTAATATGTTGTGATTTGTCCTGGTTGAGTCGAATTTTCCAGAGTTTGCAACAGTCATGAAATTTTTTTAGGTGATATTATTTTAGAGTCTGTGAGGTGTATATTGGATTTCGATGTCTTGTCAACACAAGTGGAAGTGATAGTGAACCTCAATAAAAACAAAAAAGTTTACATAAGCAATGTATTATCATGTAGCGCCATATCACTTCAATCAATTTTAAAACTTGGTCATAGGCAAACACCGACATTTTTAATATAAAAAGGATATAACAAAACACAAAACTGATATAAATAGAAAAATCGCTGACAATGATAGAAAAATGGTGGAATACACAGCTTGTTTTGGAGAACGGTATGTTTCCTGAACGTAATGAGTGCTTAGGTTCGGTCAAAAATTTCCAACTTGTTGGATCAATTTAGTCCAGCTATTAAACGAGACCCTTTCGCACGGTTAGGTTTCTCTAAATAAGTTCATCTAAGAAACTGGTGTAGAAATTTAACCGCTATAGATCAAAATGAAATACTCACGCCATTTTCTAAACAATCGTTATCGTAAACAAATCTTGCCAACACATGTTGTCGTCCACCACTACACTGCCGTCAAAATATATGTCAATGAAGTGCAGATCCGTTTCTTCCGCTTCCCCTATCCTCCGAAATGTCGTTTGTCTCGTTCAATAGTGGCATTGGATCCGGTCAGGGGCTCGCGTTAAGCAACAGAAAATGACGCTGAAAATGTACTTTGCTAATGATAGTTTTGACCCTATTATCTTTTACAATTACCTACCTAGTAATATTTTAATAAGGAGTTAATTCATTAGGATAATGATTGGAAGACTCATTTTGAGTAAAATATATAGGTGATTAAAAACAATAAATGTGCATGTTTTTTTAGAGCTTGCTGAAGATAGTGAATAGTCAAAAAGTGAATAGGTTTAACTCATCACAACCTACAACTTTTTATTTACGAAAATTCTCGAAATTGAATATCATAAACAGGTGGTTAGATTTGGTTGGTTATTTTTAACAATTAACCATTGTTTAGGGTTGATCACCCTAAATTGAGGTTATCCCCCTCCCCCCTTCATGGGGTACATGTAAAGGACCAGCGAAGTAGGTAACACTGCAGCGACGGTGGCGCTGTATGCACCAAAAACTAGTAGTAGAGAAAATGGGCTACTGACTTTTCTCCCCTCTTCAAGACCTAGGAATTCATACGCTGTTCTACCATGGGAAGAGGCATGGAGTAGAACCCTGAGACCTGCCGGACAAATGGAGGTGAAGAAGTATTGCAGCCGGCCGACCACCGTACCTCAGCATCCAGCCACATCAAGTAAACGATCGTAGAACATTTATAAGCCAAACTCCCATCTTTATATACTGTTTAAATATAATTATAGTTCATTTCATACAGTCCACTTGTTCATTTCAAAGACCCAATCATCTGTACCGTGTCATATTAAAAATGATGGTACATCCCATTTCAACCATTGTAATCGAACAAAAAATTAAACCTCCCCCTCTCAAAATTTGAGGTTTTACGTTTCAGGATAAGTAGAATTTGAAAAAAACGAATAAAATTATTTTTTGTCCATATGCAGTCCGTGGATGTTCTCCGAAACTCATTAAAATCAGATGTCTCACCCGAGAATGATCCTCCTTCATCAACATTATTATCAGCCTTTTCCTTCCAAGATGGCGGCCGAAGAACCTGCGTTGTTATAGACTGTAGCGCCCAAACGAATGTACCGATTTCAATGAAACTTGGCTAAAGTCTTCATCTCGATGCCCTTAAAATTTATCTATATAACATGCTATTAGAGTGCTACCAATGGGTAGTTTCTCAACAAGCGTGTTTCATGTGATAATATTCCTCTGTACAAATTTACTTGATGTATTCATACTAATAGAGTTGTAAACATCATAATAAAAGTTTTTAAAAAAAATATATAACATGCTTCAACGAAAAGAAGCTGGAAAAAAAGTAACGAGGGATGGTAAAATTAGATTCCGAATAACTCAAAAAGTATACATTTTTCGTGAATATTGCAATGTTTATTTAAAAGTTTACGGAATTACTAAAAATAAAATACGGAAATTGTCGATGGAAATTGTGGGACAAACGATAAAAAAATCTGTCGATGTTGGTTTCATTTCAACGTCAATATCTTACCAATTAATTCAAAAAATAAAATATAGTGTTATATTACAAAAATATTCTTCATGGATTTTTGAGGACCTCGTATTAAATATATGGCTTTTAAAATCTTTCCCGCAGGTTTTATTACTCCAGCTGTAAAACCCTTTTAAGGCTCATTTAATCAGCAAATTGAAGCGAGTCTGAAATAAAATGAAGACAATAAGGCCCAACTTCACTATAAAACAAATTTTGACAATTAAGCCCTTGAGAATATAAATGTTCTTTTATATCCGACAGTTTCAGTTGGATGAATGGCTGTAGAGTAATAAATAAATAATAAATCTCGCCCTTTTGATCTTTTTACTTTATATCCATTACCATCAGAACGCAACATTTTAACGTTTTTTTATTATTGGGTTGGCTAACAGACATAAACATTTACTTTAATCTGCAATATATTAACCATTATTTAATATGACTTTTTCCCATATTTCCACTAACAGCATAATGCAATGTTCATAGAATGTCTGAAGTTTATTGTTAAAAAACTGATTCAAGTGGTTTTTGATGTCCTCTTCCTTTTGGAATTTCTTTCCATTCACGAAGTTCTGCAGAGACCGGAATAAGTGGTAGTCACGTGGAGCTAGGTCTGGTGAATATGGAGGTTGGGACAAAATGTTCCATCCAAGGCTCAATAATGCGACCAATGGGATGTGGGGTATGGTGTTGTCTTGGTGGAACACAACACCCTTCTGATCGTTCATAACTCTTCATAATGTTCTTCAAATTCGATATTACTATATCCGTTGGAAAGATGAATTATTGCTCTTCAAAATCGTATGAATAATAATAGTGGGTAAAATTTCTATTGGCAATATCATAATTTTACTATTTATTTTCATTTCTTATATAACTTCATATTCCTTTTTTCAGTTTTACATTTTATTCTAAGATTCCCATTTTAATACTTAATTCACCTTTTTTGATTATGTTTACTTCATCATTCCACACTTTGTAACGGTTATTATTATTTATCTCTTAGTTCTTACTATTGTCATTATTCTAACAACTTCATTTTACTTTATTTTTTTTAACCTACACTACCTTATGTTTCTCATACCTTGTTATCTGGTTCTTTTCTTAGGCCTGATGGAGACCTGAACTTCAGGTCGAAACGTCGGCAAATGTCAAAATAAATACTATCATTTATTTTTGCCTTCTTATTTGACTGAACACCCCACTATTCTTCTCTTCATGAATAATAATAGTAATAAAAAAAATATATCACAATAACTAAAATTTATTGAAGATATGGATTAAAATATCTCAGAAACTAAAATATCGGACCTATTTTTTTCGAGTACGCCCTATGATAATCCTAAAGGATTTAGTCTCAGAATAAATTTTCTATTATATTCCGAAACTACAAAATAATTATTCGGTTTCGATCCACTACCTGGCAACTTAGGGAAAGATTAACATACCTGGATTTAGCTCTAGGAAGAATGGGAGCCTGTCCAATCCGTCTTCGTACCTGTAGTCCAGTAGTTCGTTACTCTGGCCCCACTTCCCCTGTTGAGGCTTTTTCTTACGTTTGCGGGGATGGTAGTCCGCCGGTCTCCGCCTCACGTGGAACATTATCGATCCTGCAACAAAAATAATATATCGATTAAAAATTAGATGAAATAATAAGTAATTATTATAGTTAGTATAATAAATTGGAAATGTGATTAACAAATATGAAAGACAAAACAGAACGTCAGTCATTTATGGAATAGAATGTAAACATTGTAATAAAAAATACATAAGAGAGATATCCAAAAATTAAAAACAAGAATTACTCAACATAAAAATAAATGTGAAAAACATAAATATAATAGTCCTGACACAACATAGGTTTGATTTTAATAATACAAAAATTCTAAATATTGTCAAAAACAGAAAAATATAAGAGGCAATAAACATCACTAACAAAATAGGAAAGACAAAAAAAAAATATATACGAAACAAATACAAACAATCATTACGTATATATTATAAATATTTAAAAGCAATAACTAGCAGCAGAAAAAAATAAATAAATATAGGCGAGAGGGGGAGAATGTTACAATGGAAAATATCCATCTTAAAAATAAATGTATTTTAATTTAAACTCATTAATATCAGTAATGCGACTGAGTAAGAGGCGCTGGGATTTCCTAGGGCCTTTGTTATTTTGATTAGTTTAGTTCTTTTGTTTATATAATTTACTTTTATTATTATTATTTTTCTGTTTTATCTATTGTAAATAGAGCGTGAATGTGCTCTCTGAACACTATTATAAATGTCCTTAATTGTGACAGATTGTAATATTTCTGAATAAATAATTAAACTCAATTAGTCCATCAGAACCTTAAAAATCATCCAAATCCCCTAGCATAATCCCTATCTAGTTCCACTCATCCCTACATAGTCCTCTTGAAACGGCAGTGGCCCAGAAATCTTTTGTAGTATATATTTTGGAGTTCTGGCAATGGCCAGATTCTCCACTAAAGACATGAGTGTGTGTGGCTAAACCGCTCTCGCTCAATCTCCACTGGCTTTAGCACCAGTGGCGCAATTGAGAGAGTAGCGCAGGGATCTCCTGCCTGATTGTATATATGTTTTTATTATATTACTATGTTTTTAATTTATTCATCTTTAAGTTATTTTATTTTTTTAATGTATATAGTTTTTGATTATTATTTAGTTATTATTACTTTTGTTAATTTTATTTTCTGTCTACATGGTGTGAATGTGTTCATATATCAATAATTGTTAATAATTATTGTCCACGTGACATATTGTAATATTTCTGAATAAATAAGTATTAAAAAAAAAAATTAAACTCAATTAGTAAATTAAGGACAATTGTTTTTAACATGCATTGTAAGACAATAACATCGATGAAATGCCTGCTAATAGGTAAATTAAAATGTTTTATAAAGAGTAATTTTTGTATAAATATAATCTTTATAACAGATGGAAATAATTTTTACGCTGTTTTTAACAGTTTTAAATTGATTTTAATGACGGGTGAGTAATTATAATAAAATAAATATAACCTGAAATGCTATAAAATAAGTTATTAAAATAAATTAAGTTGACTATTACTGTTAAATTATTATTATAACTGTTAAATTATGGATCAGATAAAGCGTACCCTAGTTTCGGCAACGATATTGTTTTTATAGGTCAACAATGTTTACTACAAGGCCCTAATATTTTTACTTAAAAGGAGGGCAACTCTAGGACATGGAGTCATTAAGGGCAAACCTTGAATTCCAATGTTCTATATCGATAGTTACTACTAAGGCCTGAAATATGGTGACAGTTAACTGTTGTTACCACGGTGATAACTGTCATACATAAACTGCCACATACATACGCCTTGTTGGTAAACTGTCTTAACTTATGTATCTAATCTGATTACATATCTTGAAATCCATTTGAAGGTGTGTTTAGACATTTCACAAACTGTGGGTAACACAATTATCTAACTTAACTAATAGTGACATTAGTGCTAAGCCAATTTTTTTTTTCTCTTATTACAGATAGCAGATGGAAAATATAAAAAACACCAACATAAGGAAACAATCATTTCAATATTTGTTTTTCCCCATAGTTTGTGAAATGTCTAAATGTACTTTAATATCATTATTTTTTTTAAGTTGTTAGTTAGCGCTATAGATATATAAATCATCAGTCTCATGGTGCGTTAAAGATTATATTTGTCGGAACACAGACGTCATCCAATCTCACGTTACTACAGACTCTTCACGTGCAGGATTAGATCACCCCGTAACAAGCCCAACCATTTGCGTACAAATTGACAAATCGGTCTAGATCCATGAATTATGACTGCTAAGAATCATCAATCGCTCGATGACCTATATTTCTCTCACTGAAACAGATCGTCCATCGACCATACCTCATGTAGTTCAGTCAATGAACGATTATAGAAGGATATGTCGGGAACACAATTTTTGACTTTGGGACATTGTTTAGACTAGTAAGGAGGTAAATATGCTAAAAGTCCCCACTCCTAGGTGGTGAGTCAGATATAAGGAGGCGTCTAGAATGGGATTTGTATTCGGATTTTCGCTTATATCAGGAAAACTATCCATCGCATCGACAAAGACGTTATATACAAAATTAAAGATGGTAACATTTGCAATATAATTAATTATATAACTTTTTCCGCTATCTCACTTAGTTTCCGAGATATCCTTCCACAACTATCGTTAATTTGGAGAGAAAAAAATGTTTACCTCATGTTTTTTTTTTTACTGTGTTTGATTAGCCAACTCTGGATTCATTCGTTCTACCATTAAGTAAAGAGGAAAGAGAATTTTTAATAATTATATTTTTTTCAAGAATATATATTATTTTAATAGTAAATCTCCAACTGTTCAAAATTTAAATCAATTCTAACTTTATTTGTAAATTCCGATCATTGCAAAAAAAAACTAATAATTAATAATAATAATAACACACACATATATATGCACTAGTACCTACGTAGAGGTTTAGATGTATAGAGAGTTAGAGCAATACAATAAGGAATCGAAGTACTTCGCACGCTCGACGTTCCTTAACTTAAATTATCTATTACAATATCTCAAGTCATCTCTGCCATCTTTATCATTCAAATAAATACGTGTATTGTTCAATTCTCGGAAGAGAAATAAAAACTATATAATTGAGTTTTTGTTTATCATTCCATGATAAAGTTCACATCATTTATCATACAATTTAATTATTGATATTATGTTTCTATATTTTTTTTAATTAATGAAGGAGTTGCCTAGAAATTATATTTACAGCAGCTGTTTTTACATAATTACATCAGAATTATCATCAACATTAGGAATTACATCAGCTGTTCTTTATCCGCCATATTTCCAATCGACTGTTATCATTTTACTGTCAGTGTATAAATAAAGAAACTACCATACTGCCATGAATATAGTGCCACGGTAGTAAGCCATTTAAACAATAATTCAGGTTATAAACTTCCTTGTGAATACTCAAAAAGTTTTTAGTTACTTTTTTTGTCTCAAAATTTAATTGTACCTTATATTTTAAATATATGTGACTTATTACTTTTAATCAACAATTACAATTATCCTAAGGTATATTAAAGAATAAAAATAGTATCTTACGCGATTTTATAACGCAAAATTTCTCGTGAAGAATGCGCTTTGTTATACTGACAACAACCAGCGTCGCTTATAAAAGTTTTTTCGTTTACTTGAAGGCAACTGAATAAAAGTTTTCTCTATTCTAAAGAAGAAAAAATGTTTAGATTAAAGTTTTCGGGAGGGGGCAACCGATACAAATCGATTATGTAACACGAATAAGATTCTACAGGTAAAATTGAAAGCTACTTATTTCTTCCTATAACAAGGAATAAAGGATAAACAAAGCAATTTATTAATCAGGAAAACAATTTAATTATACTTGTATTGTGAAATAGAAGCAAGAGCAGCCTATAGAAGGACAAAGGGTATTGAGTTAACTCACTGTTACAAGCATTTATGCCGCTGACGCAAAGCAACACAGGATCAAATATATATGAACAAACAGCTGGGGGGTAGTATGCCTCAGAATATCAACTGTTTCACAAGCTGTTGCTTTATCTTATAAAATATTTAAACAATATAATTTATTATTGTTTTATTAGAATGTTTAATGGTTGTGTTAAGGCATTTAACAAACTACGAAAAACACAATTATCTAACTCAATTAACAGCGAAATTATTGCTGAACCAAATTATTTATTTTTTATTGAGTACTTAATAGTTGACCGTTGTATTATAGAGGAAGCAGATGGTCCGGGGTGACGGTCATAAATAGACTAAATAGTGGTAAAATTATTTTGTTAAAAGCCAACGTTTCGAGACGACTTTGCAGGTCTTCTTCAGGGAAGTGTGTTCAATAAGTGTGTTAAGTGAAACTGCTTTTAATAAAATAGTTTTACCACTATATTAGTTTATTTATGACCACCATCCCGTACCATCTCCTTTCTCTATTTATTTTTTATCTTTTTATACCGACAGCGGATGAAAAATATCAAAAACAAGAAACAAAAATACTAGCATAGTGAAATAACCATTTATATATTTGTTTTTAAATAGTTTATGAAATTTTTAAACGCACTTTAAATGTATTAGATTCACTTGTTCAAATTACCTTAAAACTATCTTAACGTGTGTAGAATTAATAAAAAAAAAAATTATTTATGATATTTACAACAGTATTACTATAAATACATCAAGCAAATGTGTACATAGAAATATAATCACAAGAAAACGCTTGTTGAGAAATTACATACTAGTATCACTCTAATAATATGTCTACAAAAGAAGATCATGCGGCTGTCTTCTTTTCAGACGCCTCGGAGGATTACCAGGAATCGAAGAGGAAGCAAGCAAGGTTAGAAACAAGAGGATGCGGATGGTTATGAAGTTTATTAGGGAAGGATAGGTATCTGGATTGGTCCAAATCTGGAACATTAATGTCTTTATGGATGATTTTATTTGTGACAAAGGAAGAAGCATTGAGGATTTTACGAATGATTTTGGATTGTAGCGATTGGATACGAAAGGAATTCGATGGTTTAATGG